TTCGATGCTTGTCGTAGGGAAAACTTATTTAAAAACATTTGTTTTATTTTATTATTTATATTTATTTTAATTCCAGTCTAGTTTTTGGGTGGAAAGTGATCCAAAGGGAGTCAAGATGCTTGAATAATTTATCGAAAAGTTAAAAAAAAATTTATTTTATTATTTATTATTTATTTTATTATTTTATTATTTATATTTATTTCATTTCCGATCTAATTTTTGGGTGGAAAGTGATCCAAAGGGAATCAAGATGCTTGGATAATTTTCTCTATGCTGTAGCTATTGTGCAGTTTGTAAGGGTCCCTTGTAAGTGACAGGAAGGCGTCAAGACGGACTAGTTAAAAGGGCGGCTACTAATTAACTGTCTTGTGCCGTTGGTAGGGCCTTATATTATTCCGCGCGGTGAGACGTGGGGAACTCGCGAGACGCGTACGTGCTTCTTGCAGGAGACGTCATTTGCGAGATTACAGATCTTTCTTTGTTCTGTCAATTAGTAATAAGTATAAATCTAGCTGTTCTGTTGTACATGATACCTTCTTGACTTAATTTTTAAAGTGCATTCTTGCATACTATTTATAAGCGCGCGGACGGGTAAGCAGGGAAAGCGGATGGCGGCCGTCCGACATCAAGATATCGAAGCAAGCGTGTATATTTCGTAAGGCATGATTTTACGTAGGGAAGCAAGATTTTACCGTAATTTTTCAAACATTCGAGTTAAATATGATCGGTTATTATTTGTGAGAACCAAGAGAACGCTGCTGTGGCAGCGTTCTAAGAACGGAGGGTTGGAATTAATCCAGATAGCACAGAGAGTGAAAAAAGAACTCAGTTATATGTCACCAATTTTGAGTTCATTTTCAGATGCAAAAAGAATTCTTTTTCTAAAAGGGATTCTTTTTGTACCTGAAAATGAACTCAGAATTGATGACATAAAACTGAATATACTAATGAATTCTTTTGGGCTCTGTGTGCTATCTGAGAAGGTCTAATCGAATCGGATCCGTGCGGGAACGTCCGGTCGCGATCAGCTTTCTCCGCGCTCGCTGATTCGAATATAACAGATAAGAAAACG